ATCTTCAAGGCTCTCTCTTCCCCTCCTAACTCCGACTTCCCATTTTGCAGCTGGTTAGTCATTCACTTATGAAGCAACTATGTAAGTTGCTCTCTAGGTTCGTGAGTAGAAATTTTGATCGAGAAATCAGGGATCATTCCGATAGGCCTACAGGCATTAAGGAAGAACTAAACGAAACGCAGATTAAAGATAATCTAGGTCACACAACACGGGATATCGCAGAGGTACTTCACATATATGAAATTATCTTTTTACGCCGTTTGAAAATCTTGAATCTTTTAATCGATACGATCTGTGTTGCCATGTGATTTAATGGGATTAAATATTGCATTGCATTTCCATATGTGTTTCTCCGCATAAATGCAACGAATCTACCATTTTTTAAGAGTGCGATCACAGGCGATGGGAACAAAATTTCCTATTTGGGAGCACTGCAAGAAGCCGCTCTACATCCGAATGAATTAATGTTGTGCATCTGCTATTATGAGAAAACAATGTTGTATTCCAACAACCCCGGCTCTTACAAAAACAGAAGTCTATTAAAAGAGTTAGGAAATGGCAAATTGGAATGTTGTTTCCTTCCGCCAAGTTGTCTGAACGGGAGAAAGTCATTTGTCTGGAAACCTGTAAAAAAAAAAAACACAGATGTCTACATTGGCCAGAAAGATGGCAAGTTCTGGGAGGATGGAACGACAATGTTTTCCTCGGTGGTGTCAGTTGCAAGACGGTCCAGATCTTGGGTCATCTTCAAGACTTCTTCTTCCCCTCATAACTCTAGCTGCCCATTTTACAACTGGAGCCTCATCCACTAATGAAGAAACAATGTCAGTATGATTTGGGGGGGGGGTCAAGTATTTTATAACATCACGATGCCATTTTTTTCCATTTTCAAGAGAAGCTAGTAGTTACTTTCGAAGTCTTTGAATAATAAGGTGTCAATTTACCTGGAAAGAAATAATGCAGGTATTAATAAGAACAGTTGAAATTAATGCATGCAAGATTTCATAGCTCTAGTGACATTCATTCATAGTTAGTTTATACAGTTTTCAACTCACTCCCGCATATATTTTGAATGCTAATATGCTAACGCTTCTTTCTATACGATCAGTGTGTAGATTGCGAATATTAAGTGTTTTTATGTTAATATTGAAAACAGATAAAACTGATATACATTTTCCGGCATCTTTTATATCCGGAGAAAAAAAAAGATATGTGCCATTTGTAGAGATGGTGATATAGCTATTATTTAGCTGCTCTCTTTCTTAAGTAGAAATTTTGATCTAGAAATCAGGGAACGTTCCGATAGGACTACAGACATTAAGGAAGAACTAAACGAAACGCTGATTAAAAGTAATCTTCGTCACACGACACGGGATATCGCAGAGGTACTCCACATATCTGATATGAGTTTTTTACGCCATTTGAATATCTTGAATCTTTTAATCGATACGATCTGTGTTGCCATATGATTTAATGAGATTAAATAATGCATTGCATTTCCATATGTGTTTCTCTGTATAAATGCAACTAAATTCTTTTAAGCGTATGGTCACAAGAGATGAAAAGAAAATTGCTTATTGGTGACCACTGCAAAAAGCCGTTCTGCATCCGAATAAATTAATGCTGTCCATCTGCTATTATGAGCTCCTACTAGAAAACAAAGTGTAGTATTCAAACAACTCTGGTTCTTATAAAAGCAGAAGTCAGTTAAAAGAGTCCGGAAATGGCAAATTGGAACGTTGTTTTCTGTCACCAGTTAGTCTGAACGGGAGAACTTCAATTGTCTGGAAACCTACAAAAACAACAGATGACTACAACAGCAAGAAAGATGGCAAGTTCTGGGAGGATAGAATCATGAAGTTGCCACAAAGATGGTTAATGATACAGGAATAGGAAGGCACATATATGGTGAAATAAATATATATAAATTTATCTAAATATTGAAATTTCCTAAAACATTACGGATTTTGGATCCGACCTGAAATATATATATATATATATATATATATATATATATATATATATATATATATATATAAGAGTGTGCAGCTTGTATTCTATATCATAAAACAATTCATACAAAATTAAATAGCAATGATTAAAATTTTCGACAGTAATTTCATTAACTATTTAATTCTTTGTATAAATTGTTTCTTTATATATATATATATATATATATATATATATATATATATATATATATATATAGTAGAGATAGATAAATTGTCCTCTAAATTACGCAAAAATGAATATGACACTGACATCTAATTTTAACAGATATATTTACCAAATTTACACATAGATATCTTGAAATACTAAAAAGTGAATTTATTTAATTAACTCGCCATTGGTCTCTACTACGAACTCCAGACGACTTCGGAATCTCTTGCATCTCTTCTGGACGAATTCCTTGTTTAATCTGGTGAATGCTGCCATAATCTTTGCCTTCAGTTCACCTTTGGTGTTTACAAGAAGTTTTGTTGATTTCTGCCTTAACTGCGCCACGTAGATAATAATTAAGGGGTGTGGTAGTCTATGGAGTTAGGTGACCGTATGTAAGGGGTCATTTGGCTGTTGAAATTGTCTGACAGCCATGACTGGGTTCTCTTGCTTTTGTGGCATGGTGCAGAGTCCTGTTGCCAGATATAGTGTCTTCCAACAGCCATCCTCTTGACACGGCAGAACTACCTCCTCAAGGCACGTGATGTAGGCCTCCGTGTTGGGTCTGATGTCTTGTAGGAAGATAAATGGAGGCATAACTTTGCCATCATTTGTGATCACTCCAAAGACCATGATTCTTACTGGATATATCATCGATCTCTCTCCGATTGCTCTGCACTGTCCTCAGATTGACACCAGAACATTGTGAAATGTTCGTCTTGGAGTTTTCGGCGCAAAGACCAAACAATACTTCATGTGTATCCAAATATATGGCTGATGGTATTGTATAGATATGTGTTTTGTGAACGTGGGTTTCACGCTTTTTGCGATTATCAGACAAACTGCCGATTGCCTGAAAATCGCAATATATATATATATATATATATATATATATATATATATATATATATATATATATATATATATATATATACTAGCATGGTCCGGCGTTGCCCGTGCTTGATTCAAGAATCGTACGACTCATAGAGCAATCAATATCACTTGAATTAAAATATTTTTGCCCTTCCTTGCCTTTAAAGGAGTGCCCTTTGCCGTGCTGATGTTGCTACATGCCTTACTTCTTGCTTATCTCACACTGCGAATTTTTTCTAAGCTCTATACTAAACATTAAATCTGTTACGAAAAAAGAACTAAACAAAATGAACACAAAACGATCAGCTTTAAAAAAGGAATCGTAACTGGAAAAACAGAATGAAAAAAGAATGTTAACAACAAATACTTTTTCACACCTAACCCAGTTCTGCGGAATCAGAATCTACGTTGGGTTTAAGCAAGCGAATGAGCCAATTGGAGTAAAGTGCCATGCAGATTTTAATTTTTCCCACTTGTAACGAATGTAGCTATCGATTTTTTTTTTTTTGCATGCTATCATGCTAGTTAACATTCGTGTCAGTCAGCTCTTGGCTCTCACTCTGGCCAATAGAATCTTCCTGCCTATTCGTGGCACTCAGATATAGGATCTCACTCTGGCCAGTAGAAAATGGCAGCAAACTACATGAAAACTGGCGTAGAAGCATGAAAAAAAATCGATTATTCCACTATCGATGGAATTGGGAAATGCAAAAGTCAGTCTTGGCCTTTCCGCTAACTTGGAGCATGTGCATGTAAATTTGGTGAAAATCCGTCGAAAATTGCGGCCGTGCATTCGTTACACACACACACACATCCTGCCTTATATATATATATATATATATATATATATATATATATATATATATATATATATATATATATAGAGAGAGAGAGAGAAGACGAAGAGAGGGAGATACAGTTATGGGAAGCTAATCTCTCATTCTGTAAAGAACGATAACTCATAATACATCGCTTGTCCACTAGACGGAGCTCGGCACTTATGTATTCAACATGGCGACAAACTGATACGCACGTGGAATTCATGGTATAAATGCAAACTAAACCTTGTTGTTCTCAGGAAAAAAATGAATAAAAGTTTGTTTTATTATCTCTTTAAATACACTTGTCTTATGTTCATTCGTTTTGTTCATCCCAACGACCTGAGATATAACGCATATATATATATATATATATATATATATATATATATATATATATATATATATATATATATATATATATATATATATATATATTATTTAACCGAATTCATCAATGCTAAGTGAATGTAACAGACTTATGTCGGAATTTGAACTGGAATCGACGATTTCAATCTCTGCGTAGGTCACCCTGCTTTTCTTTCCAGAAAATTCTTCTGCGTTTCTTAAATTATACAGGTTTATCCATTTGTAGAAATCAGCAGAAAATAAGTCAGAATTGAGCTTTCTGATACCGGCACCGTATTTCATGTCTGGATGACTCTGCGAGGGAACAAGCCAAGAAGCCAAAATACTCTCTTGCAGCCTGGATATGGCCATGAGCTTTTAGCAATAGGACGCAATCGTCACGCTTGACTTGATCGACTTGTTCGGCTATAAACAAAAGAAGTGTACTTGCAAAGGCAGTCAACCGATTGGTTGCGAACGATTGCTGGGGGAGGGGGTACTGAAGGTGAGTTTCATGGAAACGGTAGATCTTTCTCTGACATGCGATCGCTTGGACTAGAAAGGCGTTCTGCCTCGTTGGATTCTTTGCTTATATCTTGTGCCTTAATAGTTATCGCTTGTAAATTTGCGTGTTTTCAAGCGGAGATGTTACACGTCACGTGAAGTACGGAGGGTGGGGTTGGGGGTAGATTTCTTTTTTTTTTTTTGCCGTATTTTTTGTCCTTTTATTTATTCGACACTCATTTAGAATTTACTGTTTGACTGTCTTTCCAGAAATAATGTCTCCCAGCACACAAAATTCTAAAATGAAATAGAGAGAGAGAGAGAGAAAGAGAGAACGAGAAAGAGACAAAGAGAGAGAGAGAGAGACAAAGAGAGAGAAAGAGTTAAAGATAGAGCGAGAAAATGACAGAGTGAGTAAAAGAGACAGAGAGATAGAAAGAGAGAGAGAAAAAAGACAGAGAGAAAGAAAGAGAGACACAGAGAGAGAGAAAAAGAGAGAGAGAAAGAGTTAAAGATAGAGAGAGAAAATGACAGTGAGTAAAAGAGACAGAGAGATAGAAAGAGAGAGAGAGAGAGAGAAAAAAGACAGAGAGAAAGAAAGAGAGACACAGAGAGAGACAGAGAGAGAGAGAAAGAGAGTCTGTGAGAGAGAGAGAGAGATGTAGGTTCAGGAGTAAGGAGGAGGAAAATATTTCGTGTTGAGAGTATGGGTGATTTTATGAGCAAAGCAGGGTGTGGAAGAATTGAATGAGAAATAATTGAAAAAAGAGACGAAGAGAAAAATGAAAATAGAAAAGGATAAGAAATAAAAGAAAAGTTAAGAAAACGATAGAGCAAAAGTGAAAGAAGAGAAAAGAAAACTCAAAGAAAAAAAAAAGGAAAGAAGAAATAAAATAAAATAAAAAGCGAAAAACAGAAGTAAAAAAGAAAAAAAAGAAAAAAGAAAGAAAAGGAAGGATTGCAAGAGAGAGGTAAAAAAAACGAAAGAGTAAAGGAAAAAATAAGAAGAGAAACAAGATAGAGAAAGAAATAACAAATGAGTTTAAAAGCGAAATAAAAAATTAAAAGAATAGAAAAAGAATAAAAGAAAATAAACAATAGAATGAGTGAAAAACTAACCAGAAGAAAAAAAAGAAAGAAGGAAAAAAATCGAAAAAGAAAAGGTAAAAATAAAACGAGAAACAAGATGGTGAAGGAAAGAACAACAGAAATAAAAAAAAGAAATAAAAAAGAAAAAGAAAATATATCAAAGAATAGAAAAATGATGAAAGAAAATTACAAAGAGAAACACTGAAAAAGAAACGGATGAAGAAGAAAAAGTAAGAAGTAAAAAATCGAAAAGAAAAAAAAAATAAAACGAGAAAGAAGATAGAGAAAGAAAGAAAAAAAGAGATTAAAAACGAAATAAAAAAGAAAAAAATTGAAAGAATAGAAAAACAATAAAAGAAAATAGAGAAGAGAATGAGCGAAAAAAAAAGGGAGAAGAAGAAAAAGAAGGAAATATTGTAAAAGAAACGGAAAAATAAAAACGAGAAACAAGACAGAAAAAGAACAATAAAAAACAAAAAAAAAGAAAAGAACAGGAAAAAGATAAAAGAAAATAAAGGAGAGAAAGAGCGAAAAAGTAACGGACGAAGAAGAAAAAAAGAAAGTAGGAAAAAAAAAGTCCGTATTAAGACTGAGAAAAAAAAAGGAAAGTTAAAAGTTATGTTGCGTCATCAAATTCCAGCTCCTCTAAAAACAATGGAAATTAAAACATTTACATTTAATTATCATCATTTGTAAACAGAAAGAAAATAAATTTTAACAAGGAAGATATTTTCATGTATTTTTTATATAAATAATAAATACACTAGAGCTGATGTGACAAAGTAGAAAAGTTATTTTAAGTGACAACGCGTTTCGCCAATGTTAGGTTCGGTGTCATCAGATCGATTGTTTTATTAATTGACTTGATTTTATACTTTATCAACCTTTTAAGATTACTTAAAGCCGAAACATATTTTTTGATTGTAAGCATTTATAGAAGATAATAATTTTCTGATACTAAATATATAAAATATATTAAAATTTAACCGATAGCTTTGAGGAGAAGAAGTGGATTTTCAAGAGCATTTAAGCGTAAGTGATTTGGTTGGTTGTTTTATTTTATGGCATATCAATCTCAGTGGGTCATTTAATGCCAACAAATATTTTGAGATAGATTTTAACGAGAGTTTCGAAAAAAAAAAAAGGATTTTTCAATTTCTCATATTTTTGAGTACAATCTAGAATGTATAGCTGTTTGTATTACTGGTATTTTTTAAGCATTGCTGGTAATAATTTGTACTTCAAAAATTATTGCTGGTAATAATTTTTTTTATTACAAAGTATTTCTGGTATTAAAATCTATTTTTACACAAGTTTGGGTGTTAACTATTTTGCCCATAGTTGGGACCCTAACAGGTGCTATCACCCCGGGTCAGGGTGGACCAGGGAACACCATCAATTAAGAGGTGGTTCCACGCTCCTCAAAACCTCCTGATCAGAGGCCTTGCTGTTGGACGTAGTTTATCGTCTTACCCAGGACGCGGATGTAGTTTATCGTCATACCCAGGACGGAGTGTAAGTGAATATGATTAGACCGACATGAATGTGAACTCGGCTCTCCGATTTTACATTCCGAGCTCTTATCTATTACACCACCCGCATATCCAAGCTGACAGCACTTGATATTCCCGAGCGGTCATCCATCTAGATACTAACCAGGTTCAATGTAGCTTAACTTCCGTGTACGTTGGTGAAGCGGCGTTTCAACGTAATATAAGCCATCTTCAGGTCGGAAAAGAAAAGAGAAAACTTTGTGTAAGGATAATGCGTTGGAATATTTTAAGAAGTAGAATATCTATATTGAATCAACGGTTGCATCTACTGCTAGGAAAGTTGAGTCACTATGTCGTGCCAAAAGTCTTTTCTCGTTAGAGTCCATCTTACTTATGTACAGATCTACCATCCGTCCATGCATTGAATGCTGTTGCCATATTTGGTCTGCTGCTTCTGTTGTACATCTCGGGGTTCTTGACAAAATCCAAAGAATGATCTGTAATGCAATCGATCCTGATGTCATCTCGACTTCAGTCACTTTCTCACAGACGAGCTTTTTTCTCCTGGTGCCTCGACCACAGGAATTTAAGCGTTCTACTGGATTGGCATCTAGGTCCCAATCTTTTACTATTGAAAATAGTTAAATGTAACTGCAATTTCTACTCCAACAGTTTCTTTTCTCGCACTTCCCGCACGTGGAACTCCCTTCCGTTTACTCGCCTCTCTGATAAATACAATCTTCTAAACTTAAAAGCAATGTCAATCGCCATCTTCTTTTGTCTTGAACCTCGTTGATCTTTTATCCATTACTCAATCTTCACTATACCCAGGCTTTTCTCCCACTTTCAATCGCTGTAACCTTCTGTATACTAGTGGCACTCCCGCCTTGTTTGGGTTGAATGATTAAAAAAGAAGAGGGGTAATATGTAGTGATATCAGTCAGTTGATATCTTATTAAATGGAAAACAGCTGGACCTGTCACAAAAACGGATTCGAACATTTATATTCTCCGGTGGTTATCAATTAGTGAAGTGGACTTCACAAACCATACCAAGCGGGTGGGACAAAGAAGGTCACTGGATGAAGATGTTTACTTTTTTTAATACAAATATTTTATTTTCTGGTTATAAAAATGCGTGTCAATAATCAAACGCTCCGGAATAATCATTTAAAAATGTTATTGTTGAATTGTTATGTTTCTTTTTTTCATAATAAATGATGTTTAAAAACGCCGGATAATTATGCACCAACACAATAGATTGGCAACAAGGCCTCATCAATTTACAGTTTAAATAGCTAGATGTAAAAGTAAGATCTTTTGTAACAGTTTTTTTTTTCTCGCCTGTGGAACTTTCTTTTGGCTCCTTGCTTCCCAATTTACTTTCATATTCGAAAATTTAAATGCAATGTCAATCGTTATCTCCTGTCATCTTGATTCCTCTTCTTTTATTGTTCTCGTTCCTTACTAATGTCTTCTTTTTCTTAATCTTAGTAACCCCTTCTGTCTTAGTGGCTTTATTAGTCAACTTTAATATTCAAAGATGCAAATGCAATGTCAATCGTTATCTACTGTCTTCTTGATTCCTCTTCTTTTATTGTTCTCGCTCCTTACTAATGTTTTCTTTTTCTTATTCTTAGTAACCCCTTCTGTCTTAGTGGCTTTATTAGTCAAATTTAATATTCAAAGATTTAAATGCAATGTCAATCGTTATCTACTTTCTTCTTGATTCCTCTTCTTTTATCCTTCTCGCTCCTTACTAATGTTTTCTTTTTCTTAGAAACCCCTTCTGTCTCTGTCCTGGGTATGAAAATAAATTACATCCGCGTCCTGGGTAAGACGATAAACTACGTGCAACAGCAAAGCTTCTGACCAGGAGATTTTGAAGAGCGTAGAACCACCTCTTAATTGCTGGTTTTCCCATGTCCAACCTGACCCGGGGTGGTAGCACCTGTTAGGGTCCCAGCTATGGATAAATAGTTAACATCTGAACTGGGCTGAAAACATTATGAAAGTGTAAAGATAGGTTTTAAATTTTAATACTTTGCAAAAAATTATTACCAGCAATGAATACTTGAAGAAAAATTATTACCAGCAATATACTATTACTAGCAATACATTTTGAAAAAAATATATATATCAGCAATTAAAATCGTGTTGGCATTAAATAAACCATTGAGTGTGATATACTGTAAAAACAAACCAGCAATTAAAATCTTATCAGCATTAAATAACCCATTCAGGTTTATATGCTGTAAAAACAAACCAAACCAGCAATTAAAATCTTGTCAGCATTAAATAACCCATTGATGTTGATATGTTGTAAAACAAACCAAACCAGCAATTAAAATCTTATCAGCATTAAATAACCCATTCAGGTTTATATGCTGTAAAAACAAACCAAACCAGCAATTAAAATCTTGTCGGCATTAAATAACATATTGAGGTTGATATGCTGTAAAAACAAACCAAACCAGCAATTAAAATTTTGTCGGCATTAAATAACCGATTAAGGTTGATATACTGTAAAAACAAACCAAACCAAACCAGCAATTAAAAACTTGTCGGCATTAAATAACCCATGGAGGGTGATGTACTGTAAAAACAAACCAAATTAAACCAAACCTGCAATTAAAATTGTGTCGACATTAAATAACCCATTGAAGTTGATATGCTATAAAAACAAACCAAACCAAACCAAACCAAAACCAAAAAAAGCAATTAAAAACCTTGTTTGATATTTAAATAAACCCATTGAGTTTGAATAACCAATTGAGATTGATAAAAAACAAACCAGCAATGAAAATCTTGTCTGTATTAAATAACCAATTGAGATTGATATGCTGTAAAAACAAACCAGACCAAACCAAACCAAACCAAACCAAACCAAACCAGCAATTAAAATCTTGTCGGCATTCAATAACCCATTGACGTTGATCTGCCATAAAACAAACCAAACCAAACCAAACCAGCAATAAAAATCTTGTCGGCATTAAATAACCCATTGAGGTTGATATGCTGCAAAAAGAAACCAAACCAAACCAAACCAACAATTAAAATCTTGTCGGCATTAAATAACCCATTGAAGTTGATATGCTGTAAAAACAAACCAGCAATTATAATCTTGTCGGCATTAAATAACCCATTGAGGTTGATATGTTTTAAAAACAAACCAAACCAAACCAAGAATTAAAATCTTGTCGGCATTAAATAACCCATTGAAATTGATATGCTGTAAAAACTAACCAGCAAGAAAAATCTTGTCTGCATTAAATAACCCATTGAGATTCATATGCTGTACAAACAAACCAAACCAAACCAAACCAAAACAGCAATTAAAATCTTGTCGGCATTAAATAACCCATTGAGCTTGATATGCTGTAAAAACAAACCAGCAATGAAAATCTTGTCTGTTTTAAATAACCAATTGAGATTGATATGCTGTAAAAACAAACCAGACCAAACCAAACCAAACCAAACCAGCAATGAAAATCTTGTCTGCATTAAATAATCAATTGAGATTGATATGCTGTAAAAACAAACCAGACCAGACCAAACCAAACCAAACCAGCAATTAAAATCTTGTCGGCATTAAATAACCCATTGAGGTTGATATGCTGTATCACTTGCTATACATTTAAAAAAAAAATATTACCGGCAATAGATTTGTGAAGAAAAAATATTACCAGAAATAAAAATTCTCGGCATTAAATAACGCATTGAGGTTGATAAGTCGTAAAACAAAAGAGAAAAAACCCTTCTGTCTTAGTGACTTTATTAGTCAACTTTAATGTTCTAATACTTAAATGCAATGTCAATCGTTATCTTATGTCTTCCTTATTACTGTTCTATTGTTTCATTCCTCAGTAAAGTTTTCTGTTTTCTAATTCTTTCCCACCCAATAATCTCTTCTCTATCAGTGTCTTTAATGCCTAGCTTGGGGTGAATTTGATTTTTAAAAATATCTTTGTTTGATCGTGTGCATGTGGATGAAGCACCAAGTGGCTAAGTCTACTTAGGAATAAAGATTGGGCAAGTTTTCTACTTACTGCATTCGAGAATGAAAACAGTGAAAAGAGGAAGTTTTAAGCCGGGTATTATAATCCTGAAACAACGCCACCAAGCGGACGTCTTGGTAGACCAAGTGGTGATAATCTTCACAGTAAAAAAGACCAAAGAAACGGAATAAGAAGATAAACTAAAGAGAGAAATAGAAATGACTACAGAAAAATGAATGAAATAAATAGAGAATGGATAGAGGAAAGAGAACAGAATTAGAGTCAATGGAAGGAGAATGAAATTAAAGAAGGTAGAAATGAAGGAATGGAAAACAATATTAAAAAATAGGATGAAGAAAACTGAAAAATCGTAAAAGGAAGAATAGTAATGACGAATAAAGAAGAGTGAAAATAAAAGGGTTGAATGAAAAACAGAGAAAATGTGTAGAAGTAAAAAAAAATAGAATGAGGAATATCGAAGAATAAAATCGAAGATTAAATAATAATGTCAAATTAAATAGGGGAATGAAGAATATTTAAAAACGAAAGAAAAGAATGAAGAATATTGAAAAGCGAATCAAGGGAAGCAGAAATATTAAAGAAAGAAATAGGAAAATGAAGAATAATCGTGAACGAAAGATGAGAATGAAGGAAAGAACGGCAGAAGTGAATAGAAAATAGTGAATGAAATATGGGAGGGACATATGTAGTGAATGAAGAATAGTGAGAAACGAAAACAGAATGAAGAATAGTGAAGCAAATATGAGAATGAAGAATACTGAATCATGAAAGAAAGGAATGAAGAATATTCAAGAACGAAATACTGAATGAAGAATATAAAAACATGAAAGAAGAGAATGAAGAATATTCAAGAAATAAATAACAGTGATGAACGAAATAGAAGAATGAAGATATATTAAAGAATGAAATATGGCAATGAAGAATCGAGAACGAACGTATTGAATGAAAAAATAGAAGAACGAAAGTAGGGAATTAAAAAGAATGAAGAATAAAATAGAAAAAAATGAACACTGGAGAATAAAATAGAAAAAATGAATACTGAAGAACGGAATAGGATAATGAAGAATAATGAAGCATGAATGAGGAGAATAAAGTATAGCGAAAAACAAATTAGGAGAATGGAGAATATTTAAGAATGAAAGTGAAATATGATGAATAGGGAAGAAGGAAATAGGAGAATGAAGAATATTGAAGAAAGAAAGAAGAAAAACAAGAGAATTAATAATATTGAAAAATGAAAAAAAGAAAGAAAAATAGTGAAGAAAAACAGAATGAAATCAAAAACGAAAAAGAGAATAAAGAATCGTGAAGAACGAAGAAGAGATTAAAAAATATTGAAAAAAGAAAGGAGGGAATGAAAAAAAAAACGGAAAAGAGAATGAAGAATCGTGAAGAACGAAGAAGAGATTAAAAAATATTGAAAAACGAAAGAAGGGAATGAAAAAAAAACGGAAAAGAGAATAAAGAATCGTGAAGAACGAAGAAGAGATTAAAAAATATTGAAAAACGAAAGAAGGGAATGAAAAAAAAAAACGGAAAAGAGAATAAAGAATCGTGAAGAATGAAGAAGAGATTAAAAAATATTGAAAAACGAAAGAAGGGAATGAAAAAAAAAACGAAAAAGAGAATAAAGAATCGTGAAGAACGAAGAAGAGATTAAAAAATATTGAAGAACAAAAGAAGGGAATGAAAAAAAAAAACGGAAAAGAGAATAAAGAATCGTGAAGAACGAAGAAGAGATTAAAAATATTGAAAAACGAAAGAAGGGAATGAAAAAAAACGGAAAAGAGAATAAAGAATCGTGAAGAACGAAGAAGAGATTAAAGAGAATGAAAAAATTTAAATACGAACAAAATGAAGAATATTAGAGAACAAAAGAAGTGAATGAAGAATAGTGAAGAACGGAGCAAAAAGATAGATAGATAGATAGATAGATAGATAGATAGATAGATAGATATGAATGACAAGAAGGAATGAATTGAGAGACAATATAGATAAAAACAAGGAACGAAGGCAAACGTTTCGAGATATATAATAAGGGAAAGAGAAAGGCTATTTTTTTACAATGATGTTCCCCTCTTCAGGGCCAAAGAGCCACTAGATGGTTACACGGTTTATGGGGATACGGGGGGGGGAGCTGCTTCAGTGGAAATTACAAAAAGGAATATGAATTGAATGAAAGTGGTCCCTTAAATGCTAGTAGCAGGTCTTATCGAGGAGGGTTAGAACTGTTGAAACTAAGAATTGTAGCTTGTCGAAAACGAGCAGCCTGATATTACTTGACTCAAAGTATATACACCACAAGAAATATGTGGTATTTTGTAAAACCATTTCCCCCCACCCTAGCATGGTTGTAATAATAAACTAACACGCAAAGGCGTGAAAGTGAATGAGAAAACTTTTGTAAGGTGAAAGGTCAATAAAAGAACATGTCAGGCGAGACAATTTTTTTCTCCGGAATTTATCTTGCATATCTATAAGTCTACCATTCGTCCATACTTATTGCTACCATATATGGTCCGGTGCCCTTGCAATTTACCTAGAGCTACTTGATAAGATTCAATAGAAGAATCAGCAATATTAATGGGCCTGATCTGGCAGCTCAGCTTCAATCACTTGTCCACAGTCGTAATGTTACCCTTCTGTGCCGATTTTAAAACTAATTCCATGGTAAATGTTCGGGTGAGCTCTTCGCTGTGGTACCTCGACTGTATAATAATTTAAACGCGATACTAGACTGGTGGAATCTCAGTTTACATTTGAGCTAGCTAAATGTAGCCACAATTTATATACTGGCAGTTCCTTATTTCTCAGTTGTCGCTTGCAGAAGTCTATCCCGGCTCCATGCATCCAGACAATTTTAATCTGCAAAAATTTAAATGCACTGTCAATCGCTATCTACTACCCTCTTGATTGCACTTTTCACATTCTGCTCATTAATAATGTTTCTGTTCCAGATTCCTACACACCTCGTAACCCCCTTGCGTCTTAGTGGCTTTACTGCCTTGCATGGGGTTATTCTGATTATAAAAATGTCTTGTAAGACAAGAGATGGTGATTGACGTTGCATTTAAATTTTTAAAATCGTAGATGGCAGGAAAGAAATAAACTGGAAGCGTGTTCAACAGACGAGAAATACGAGAAAAATGATTAGTATAGAGCTTTGCGCAGGTGCGGTACCTTAGTCGACGAGGATTCGGGGTGTCGGCAGCTCACTTGAGGGGCGTACACATCCTTGCTGGTGATATCTCGGCTGCGCTTAGCTCTGACCAGCTTGGACCAGCTATGGCAAGCCAAGACTAGCTTAGACTTGCTCTGACCAGCTTGGACCAGCTATGACAAGCCAAGACTAGCTTAGACTTGCTCTGACCAGCTTTGACCAGCTATGACAAGCCAAGACTAGCTATGACTAGCTTAGACCAGCTTGAACAAGCTAAGACCAGCGGCCCGAGTGAAAACACTCGGGTCCTCACGTTAAAAACTGACCTTGTGTCACAACCTGACTCAGTGGGGGGTCAAGTAAATAAACCTTAAAATGTAGCTATTCCAATAGTAAAATAATGGGACCTAATAACCACTCTTATTGTACGTTTGAACTCATGATCCAGCACACAAGTTCTTGGCTTCAATGCCTGCTGTGAGTGAGTGTAGCTTTGAACTGGTTGACCACGCTTCCTGTTTTCCTGATTTGGCCATATCTGATTATCATCTGTTCCCCAACATGAGAAAGCACTTGGATGGTAACAAGTATTTCCTCACTTTTCATGAGAGTGTCTTTATTAACCTATAAACTTATTCAGTAGACATCGTAGTTAAAGTTGTTGGTAAGTTTTTATTCTGTATTCGTTTATCTCTTTGAGGAAAGAGTGTCGTTTGGTGAAGATTTCTGACAAGCGGATATTTCGAGTAGACTGACTACAACCAGATGAAAAGTTTCCGATTTATCTGTTTTCAGCGGATCGAAACTTGGAAGGTTTGGAATTTACTCCACCAACAGCGATTCCTTCTGTAACAGAAAAGATAATCTACTTCACCGGCAGCCATGTCCAGTTCGAAGATTAAGGTTAACGCATGTTAGCTCAAACTGCTTTTAATTCCACGTTTTGACGCATGGCTGTTCTGACGGCAGAACGCAAGAGAACCAAGTCAGAAAATCTATTTCAAGAAGATTTTAGAGACGATCTGAAATATAATGTCTCCACTGACTGCGTTTTAAGTCGAGAATATTTCCGGAAAAGAAAGCGTTATTTTCTCATCTATAGTGTCATGTTCGAGAAGTTTAGTCATTGAAACTGCGAGGAAATTGTTTTTGCATTGGATAGACTTGTTATTACCTCGGCATCTGCGAAGAATGAAAGGAATAAACAAAGAAATAAAGAAGAAATGTCTGAAAAGAAAACGTTAATGTTATAGAAAGAAAAGACACAAATAATAAAGAAAAGAAAGACAGAAATAACAAAGTTGTAGAAAGAAAAATGGAATAAAAAATAAATCCAAACGAACAAAGAAAAAAAGAAAGGAAGATAAAGGAGAGAAAGACATAAAGAAATAAAGAAAGAAAAAAGAAAGAAAGCATGAAAGAAAAAAGAAAGAAAGAAAAACAAAGAAAGAAAAACAAAGAAGGAAAGACGTAGAGAAAGAGAGAGTGAAAGAAAGAAAGAAGAAAAGAAAGAAGAAAATGAAAGAAATAACGAAGGAAAGAAATAGAGAGAAAGCATGAAAAAAGAAAGAAAAAGAAGGCAAGAAAAAAGAAAAAGAGAAAGAAAGAAAAAGAAAGAAAGAATGAAAGAAAGAATTAAAGAAAAGAAATAACTGAAGAAGGAAAGGGAAAAAGAAAGAAAGGAAGAAAAAGAAAGAAAGAAAGAAAGAAAGAGAGAAAAAGAAAAAGTAAGAAAGAAAAAGAAAGAAGGAAAGAAAGAAAAAGAAAGATTAATATTATAGAAAGATGGCTGAAAAGAAAGAAAGAAATGATAAAGTTGTAGAAAGAAAAATGGAGTAAAAGATAAAACCAAACGAACAAAGAAACAAAGAAACAAAGAAAGAAAAGAGAAAGGCATAAACAAGGAAAGAAAAAGAAAGAAAGAAAGCATGAAAGAAAAAAGAAAGAAAGAAAATAAAGAAAGAAAGAAAATAAAGAAAGAAAGAAAGAAGAAGAAGGAAGGATAGACGTAATAAAAGAAGGAATTAATGAAAGAAAGAAAGAAAGAAAGAAAGAAAGAAAGAAGAATAGGAAAGAAAGAACGAAGGAAAGAAAAAGAAAGAAAAAGAATGAAAAAATTAAGAAAAAGTAATACAATAAGAAAAAAAGAATGAATGAAAGAAAGAAAAAATTAAAGAAAAAGAAAGAAAGGAAGAAGAAAGAAAGAGATAGTAAAGAAAGAAAGAAAAAGAAAGAAAGAAAGAAAGAGAGAGAAAGAAAGAAAAAGTTAGAAAGAAAAAAGAAGAAAGAAAAAGAAAGAACGAAAGAAAGAAAGAACGAAAAAGAAATAGTAATATTATGGAAAGATAAGCAATGGCTGAAAAGAAAGAAAGAAATGATAAAGTTGTAGAAAGAAAAGAAAAGAAGCGCTTAACAGAAAGAAAAAAAAGAAGTAAAAAGAAATTACGAAAGGAAAGAATAAAGAAAGAAATCATACTGGAAAAATGAAATATTAGTTAAAAGAGTGTTGTAGAAAGAAAGAAAGAAAGAAAGAATTAAAGAAAGAAAGAAAGAAAGAAAGAAACTAACAATCAAAGCGGATAACAGAAAGTAGAAATAATAAAATAGTATGGAAAAGAAATTTGTAGAAAAAAAATAGGAAAATGCGAAAAGAAAGAAAGAAAAAGAATCAAAAACAGAAATTACGAAACGAACTAATATAGAAATGAAGCATGTAGCAGAAGTTTGAAATTATTTGAACGCAAGTAAAAAAAATGGTTATGTCGAAAGAACAGAAAAGAAAAAAGGAAAGAATTTTGGATCGTATCAAGGAGCTGCAGGTAAATGGCTGGGCACTGGACCATGTATGGCAGTAATATCCTAAGCAGGGATATGCAAAATAGATTCCGGAGAGGAAAATTGTCTCGCACGACACACTGAACAGTCTTACATATGAAGATAAAAAGAGGGTTGCAGAATGAAAGAAAAGATAATCTTTTTGGAAGAAATCAAGAATTAAGAAAAAGGATAGGAATGTGGTCAAAGAAAGAAAGAAAGAAAGAAAGAAAGAAAGAAAGAAAGAAAGAAACAGAATTTACAAAAAGAATTAATATAGAAAGGAAGCACAAGAAGTTAGAAAATTATTAGAATGAAAGTAAAAAAAGGTGTTATCGAAAGAAAGAAAATATGAAAGAAGAGAAACAAGTAAAAGAAAAAAAGAAAATACGAAAGAAAAAAGAAAGAAAATTAAGGAAAACAATGAAATACGACCAAACGAACAAAGAAAGAAAGAAAGAAAGAAAAAGAAAAGAGAGAAAAAGAAAGAAGTAAAGAAAGAAAGAAAAAAAGAAAGAAAAAAAGAAGGAAAAGAATGAAAAAAAAGAAAGAAAAAAGAAAGAAAGAAAAAGAAGGAAAAAGGAAGAAAGAATGAAAGAAAGAAAAAGAAAGAAAAGGACAGAGAGAAAAAGAAAGAAATAATGAAGTAAAGAAAGAAGTAAAGAAAGAAGGAAAGATAGAAGGAAAGAAAGAAAACAGAAAGACAGAATGAAAAGAGAAAAAAGAAAGAAAAAGAAATTAATAAAGAAGAAAAGAAAGAAAAAGGTAGAAAGAAAGAAAGAATGAGAGAATGAGAGAAAGTAAGAAAAAGAAAGAAAGCAGAAGAAAAACGAAAGAAAGAAAGAGAGATAAAAAGAAAGAAAAAAGAAAGAAAAAAAAGGCCTTCTTTCTTTTTTATTTCTTTTTATCTATTTTTCTTTCGTTTTTCTCCCAATACAAGGCCTATCAGCCACTCAGTATAGAGGATTAATGACTGGAGTAAGAAGTGCAGTTTGTGATTATATGCAGGAAGGATAACGGTGAACACCAGACTTAAAGCGATTAAGGGGAAGCATCCTCTCAGGAGTCCGTTCCAAGAAGCAGCGACTATTTGGAAGAAGCTGTCTGAATGAGGTAACGAATTAGACTCGATATAGCGCCGTTCGATCACATATTCCGTTATCTCTTCGTCACCGAGTCCCGTTGGTACAGTTGGTACGGCGTTTGCCTCGTAATGTAACTGTTTCAATTCTCGGTAGTGGATGCGCACTGCTGATGAGTCCCAAATATAGGACGAAACGGCCGCTCAGTGCTTTCTGCAATCTGTTGAGGTTTTTTCTAGGCTCGTTGAAGAACTTAACAGACAGCAGACATTTTAAGAATAGATATTGCAATCATATAAAGTCCTTTACAAATGCAGGCGAACGCAATATGACATCACTTTCGAAATATTTTTGGAAGAATATGTGATGTGATGGGGAAAAATAGACTTGATTTACAGATTCAACGGAAAAATAGCCCAGAAACATATGCCCATTGCCCAACAACATTTAGCCCGAAAAAAATGTCGACCGGCGTTATCTATCTATCTATCTATCTATCTATCTATCTATCTATCTCAGTCTGTTTCTATCTATCTATTACTGTCTTTTTCTTTCTTTCTTTCATTCTTTCTTTCTCTCGTTCTTTCTTTCTTTCTTTCACTTTTCCTTTTTCTGTCTGTCTGTCTGTCTATCTATCTATCTATCTATCTATCTCAGTCTGTTTCTATCTATTACTGTCTATTTCTTTCTTTCTTTCTCTCTTTCTTTCTTTCTTTCACTTTTCCTTTTTCTATCTATCTATCTATCTATCTATCTATCTATCTATCTATCTATCTCAATCTGTTTCTATCTATCTATTACTGTCTTTTTCTTTCTTTCTTTCTTTCTTTCTTTCTTTCTTTCACTTTTCCTTTTTCTGTCTATCTATCTCAGTCTGTTTCTATTTATTACTGTCTATTTCTTTCTTTCTTTGTTTTTTTCACTTTTCCTTTTTCTCATTATCTATCTATCTATCTATCTATCTATCTATCTATCTATCTATCTCAATCTGTTTCTATCTATCTATCTATCTATCTCAATCTGTTTCTATCTATCTATCTATCTCAGTCTGTTTATTTCTATCTATCTATCTATCTATCTATCTATCTATCTATCTATCTATCTATCTTTCTATCTATCTATCTATCTCAGTTTGTTTCTATCTATCTATCTATCTATCTATCTATCTATCTATCTCAGTCTGTTTCTATCTATTACTGTCTTTTTCTTTCTTTCTTTCTTTCACTTTTCCTTTTTCTATCTATCTATCTATCTAACTCAGTCTGTTTCTTTCTATCTATCTATCTATCTATCTATCTATCTATCTATCTCAATCTGTTTCTATCTATCTATCTATCTATCTATCTATCTATCTATCTATCTATCTATCTATTCATCTAAGAGGACACTTCACCATGGCCAATTTGTCTCTCTTGCTCTTTCTCTCTCTATCACAGTCTGTTAATATCTATCTATCTATCTATCTATCTATCTATCTATCTATCTATCTATCTATTTCACATATATATGCACTCCCATGCCTTCGTTTATATTACCTTATCTATCTATCTATCTATCTATCTATCTATCTATGCATTTCAGTATGTTAACATCTATCGGTGTATTATATATGTCGTAGGTGGATGCACACCTCCATTACGTAGTCAACAAATTATCTTTGGTGTTCTATGAATTAATTTGACATTTCAGTACAACTGAGTATTCCCTCAGGTTTCGTTACAAAGAATACGTCGAGCTGTTCAAAAGAAAGAAAGAAAGAAAGAAAGAAAGAAAGAATGTTAAAATTAGAAGAAAATCTGGAAAAGAAAGAGATGTTGAACAAAAAGAAAGAAAGAAAGAATTAAGAAAGAAAGAGAAAGAGAAAGAGAGAAAGAAAGTTAAAAATAGAAGAAAAACAGGAAACGGAAGAAAGAAAGAAAAGAAAGAAAGAAAGAAAGAAAGAAAGAAAGAAAGAAAGAAGAGAGAGAGAAAAAGAAACATGTAAGCATGAAAGAAAAACAAATAAAAGGATATTTTAAAAGAAAGAAAGAAAGAAAGAAAAGAAAGAAAGAAAGAAAGAAAGAAAGAAAGAAAAAAATCAAAATAAAGAAAGAATGAGAAATGTTAAAATACAGAACAAATAGAGGGTTTGGTTGGTTGGTTGTTTTTCTTTAGCGGCATATCAACACCTCTATGGGTTATTTAATGACGAAATCTAAATATTTTGAACGCAATTTTATGGCTTCAACTAAATATATTTTAAACAAAATTGTATCTTTGTGGTCATTTTGCTATAAAATGTATTGTTAGTAATTCTACTATAAACTGTATTGCTGGTCATTTTCCATTAAAATTTTATTGTTGCTAAAAATAAGAAAGAAAGCAAATGAAAGAAAGAAAAATATACTCCTAAAATATTTAAAAACGAAAACAGACTTGAATTAATAATGATACGAAAGGACAAATAATATTCAAAACTTCGAGACAGATCGAAGGAACAAATCAATGAAAGAAAGAAGGAATGAGACAATGAAGAATTGAAGGATAAAATTAACAGCTGAGGAATTGAAGGAAGGTTCGGTTCGGTTCGGTTCGGTTCGGTTTGGTTTGGTTTGGTTTGGTTTGGTTTGGTTTGGTTTGGTTCGGTTTGGTTTTGTTTTGTTTTAAGGCCTTATCAACCTCAATGGGTTATTTAATGCCGACAAGATTTTTATTGCTGGTTATATTTTTTTTCAAAAATGTATTGGTGATAATATTTTTTTTTTCAAAAATGGATTATAGGTAGTATTTTTTCAAAGATGTATTGCTGCTAATAATATATTGCTGGTAATACTTTTTTTCTCCAAAAATTCATTGCTGGTATAATTTTTTACAAAAATGTACTGCTGGTATAAGAGCTATTTTTACACATTCATAGTGCTTTGACCCAAGTTCAGAGGTTAACTATTTGCCCATAGCTGTGTCCCTAATAGGGTTTTACCGCGGGTCAGGGTGAACGTGGGAACAGCAGCAATTAAGAGGTGGTTCCACGCTCTTCAGAAACCCCGTAATAGAGGTCTTGCTGTTGAACGTAGTTTATCGTCTTTCCCAGGACGCAGATGTAGTTTATCGTCTTACCCAGGACTCGGGTGTAGTTTATCGTCTTATCCAGGAGGCGGATGTAGCTTATCGTCTTTCCCAGGACGCAGATGTAGTTTATCGTCTTACCCAGGACTCGGGTGTAGTTTATCGTCTTATCCAGGAGGCGGATGTAGCTTATCGTCTTTCCCAGGACGCAGATGTAGTTTATCGTCTTACCCAAGATGTTGATGTAGTTTATCGTCTTACCCAGGACGCAGATGTAGTTTATTGTGTTACCCAGGACGTGGATGTAGTTTATCGTCTTACCCAGGACGCGGATTTAGTTTATCGTCTTACCCAGGACGTTGATGTAGTTTATCGTCTTACCCAGGACGCAAATGTAGTCTATTGTCTTACCCAGGGCGTGGATGTAGTTTATCGTCTTACCCAGGACGCGGATGTATTTTATCGTCTTACCCAGGACGCAGATGTAGTTTATCGTCTTTCCCAAGAAGTTGATGTAGTTTATCGTCTTACCCAGGACGCAGATGTAGTTTATTGTCTTACCCAGGGCGCAGATGTATTTTATCGTCTTACCCAGGACGCAGATGTAGTTTATCGTCTTACCCAGGACGAGGATGTAGTGTATCGTCTTACCCAGGACGCAGATGTAGTTTATCGTCTTACCCAGGACGATTGATTCTCAAGAAGATTCGCAAATATAAAAAGGACAAAAATATTCAAAACATCTAGAGACAAAAGGAACGAATCAATGAAAAAAAAAAGAAGGAAAGAAACAATGAAAATACGAAGGAAAAAATTAACGGCTCAAGAATTGGAGGAAGTAAATTAAATTTGGGAATAAAACATGAAGCATATTGAAATCTAATAAAGACTGTCTTGAATTCTAAAGCAGGCGAAAACCATTTTACAATAGACATCATTCCTTAGTAAACAGAGAAAATCTTTCGATTAAGTGAGATTCGTTTTATTGTTTTTCTCTCTGATTTGCCAGGAATTTTATCATTTTTAGTTTTTAATCTGAGAATAGAGATAAATACAGAATCCAATATCAAATTTCAGAAAATGGTATCAGAACTAAAATCTTTTCTAGATTCAATTCTGTGTATGGAACCTTAAAAAAAATCAAACGTTGTGAATAGGGGGAGAACTGTAGGTAACTGCGTGGCAATAAATAAGCAAATAAGTAAATAAGAAGTCATCAGTCTGGGAGTGTGTAAACGTCATTAAATTGCAAGATGTTTCCACCCCACATCAGAGAATATTTCTGGCTTTACCGTTCCGTATTTTTAATTTCTTCCTGTTTTTCGGACAATAAATTCGCTTTTTACGTTATACCTCTGATACCTGTCTTGGGTATGACGATAAACTGCATCCGCGTCCTGGGTAAGACGATAAACTACGTCCAACAGCAAGGCCTCTGATCAGGAGGTTTTGGGGAACGTGGAAACATCTTTTAATTGCTGATGTTCCCAGGTCATCCCTGACACGGGGTGGTAGCACCTGTTAGGGTCCCAGCTATGGTCAAATAGTTAACCCCAAAACGGGAGTAAAAACACTATAAAAGTGTAAAAATAGGTTTTAATACCAGAAATACTTTATTAAAAACTATTACCAGCAATATATATTTGAAAAGAAAATCATTACCAGCGATACATTTTGAAGGAAAAATATTACCAGAAATAGATTTTTGATAAAACAAAATATTACCAGCAATAAAAATTTTGTCGGCATTCCATAACCCATTGAGGTTGCTATACCGTAAAGCAAAGCAAACCAAACCAATACCTCTGATACGTTACGGATATCTTGAAGGACATATGATATGCGTTATATGAAGGATATTGTGATTTATATTACGATATGTTAAGAAAGAAAATGTTTTTTGCGTAACAAAGGAAACGATGATTGGAGAAACATCTGAAGCCAGCCTCCAAAACGATTAATATCCGGATTTACACTTCTTTTATGTCCCGTATAAGACGTGAGCGATCATGGCTCTCCTATCCTTTACAGAGTATAGCTGAACAACTCCAACTCATCAGAACTACTGTCCTGAATTGGTACTGTCAGATTTTCATCTCTTTCGGTCCAGGAAAGACGCTTTCTGTTTTCTAATGATGACATAAAACCGACAGAACGAAAGGTTTGAAACAAAGTTTATAAAGATGGTTAGAAAGAAGAGCCCGCAATGTAATCCAGCTGGACCTGTCGTCTCGAATTCAGTGTCTAATCTTTTATTTGGCTTCTTAATTTTATCTCTTTTTTTGCTTTGCCTAAACTCCGATATAACTTTTCGGTGTAGATCTATCCAGAAGCACTCTCTTCTTCTTTATCTACCGTTTCCTTTCATGACGTAGTCATTCATGACCCTCCGCATCTTCCTGTCCATTGTCGCTCTTAATAAATTTTGTCTTTTTGCTATTTCGCTGAAACTCTGTTGTATCATCCATTTTCTCAAGCCTATCAAATGTTACTCGCTGTTTTCTTCTGTCCATCTTTTCCTCAATCTGTCCTGTGAGTATCAGATTTTCCAAGCCTTCCTTCCTCATTACGTGCCCCAGAAATTTCAACTGTCTCTTCCTGATGTAAAGTATAAGTTTCCTTTTTTTTTGCTATTTTCTCTAAAGCCTCGTCGGCTGACCTCCACCTTCTGGCTTTCTCCTTTTAAATTTTGGATAGAAGTCATTCCCTTGTTCAAATGTATTTAATTTAAGTCAAAAGGAAAAAAAATCAGTGTGGAGGGGCAAAAAAAAGCTTGACCTGACCCTTTTGATACGTATTTGATGCAATAATTTATTAAATAAATTGATGAACACATTTCAACATTGATATGGCATTTAAATTGTTACAACAAATATGTATTGTAAGGCATTATTCACTCATTGGTGATTTCTTGCTCAACTTGTCGGCCATTTTGATCTTGCCGATGTGATCTCCATCTTCTGGCTTTCTTCTATATTTTTGATAGGAGTCATTCCATTGTTCGAATTTAAATTTAATTTAAATGAAAGGGAAATAAAATATCAGTGGTGGGTGGGGGTGAATACATTTATCTAAGTATCTAGTAGTCATTCCCTTATTCAAATTTAAATTTAATTTATATCAAAGGAAAAAATCAGTGGCGTCTTGAGCCTCCCGGGAACCTCCTTTGATCAAAATAAAATATATTTATCCAAGTAATCTGGATAGTAATGTAGTTTCAGAATATATATGGTTATGGGGTCAATCTCCAAAACCCTAGAATGAGTTCGATAACAAACAGACAGACAGAGGCTACAACTTTATATACAGAGAATTGCTAGGTCCTCTGTTTTTTCTGTCGTCCTGGACAATTTTTTGCTCCAGAAGTCTACCATTTGTCCTTACTTTGAATTTTGCTGTCACATATGGTCTCGTCTTACTCATATACATTTAGAAATTCTTGATAAAATCCAAGGAATAATCTGCAATGTTATTGGTCTTTACGTAGCATCTCATTTTCTGTCACTATTTCACAGCCGTAATATAACTTCCTGTGCTTTTTCTA